GTAACAATTTTGATAATAAGTATTAGATTGACATCATTGACAAAAATAGACTGCAACAGAAAACCCCATGAAAAACATAAAAGAAGCGCAAAAAATTATGCAAAAATTAAAAATCGTCCATAACTCTAAATTCAATATATGAAACTGTCTTCTACGCACTAGTAAAAAATTTTCCTTGTAAAATTTTGGTATAAGAAATGTTTTATAATTATAATATAATGCCAAACTATTAATTCTAGTCTAACAGCGCGAATTTTTACTTGAAATTTTTTTTTTTGATTACTAATATTAATACTCCAATAATTGAATAATTAGTGCAGCCAATCAGAAGTGGTGGGGAAAATTAGTAAATCCCATATACACTTCAATATCACCCCGTTCCTGATAAATTTAGCTCGATACTTAAAGTTAGATGAATTGGATGAATAATTTATTTTACACCAAAATAGATAAATTAGCATCTAAATTTCACTATTTTAATCCACTTAACAAGAATTTGCGGTCCCACGCACCTTAACTCATGATTACTGTAAACGATATTATTTTAGCGACGCATGTTGATGCAATGCCAGATGACTATATAATGATTAAATTTGTGGATTGATGGTTCCCATGATGATAGTGTATTTGTTCGGACTTTCAGTTTCTGATTTCCTAGTAAAATGACTCGTTTTTTTTTTTACTTCCTTTTTAGTATATGATTTATTATTTTGATTTATTGTGATCAAAAGATCAAAATAATTTTTATTTGTACTCGCTTTGATGAAAATGGCTAAAAGCAATATTCATCCCATTTTTAATAAATACAACGTAGATGGAGAGAAAACTATTTGTTCTCTTTGCAACAAAGAATATAATTCTCCTTTGAATATCTCAACAGCAAAGAATCATTTTAGATTCAAACATCTTAATATTTGGAAGGAATTAAAATCTGATCGTAGAGGTATAAGGCGTAGATCTCGCCATAGGGTTTATGAATATTTTTCTGTAATTGATTCCGGAGAATATCAGTGTAATTTATGTTCTCATAAGTTTAAAGAACCTCAATGTACAGACTTAAAATACCATTTTGCTCGTTACCATAAAGAAGTTTGGGACTCTATTAAAAGAAAAAAAATAGAACGTGGTGATAAATTGGATCGATCTCAAGAAAATTATGATGAAGTCACGTCTGAAAGCTCTCAAACTGGTTTTATGAGGAACGATGAAATTCCGGAACTTGATACGGTTAATATTTCATCTGATTCTGGTAATGGTGATGATAACGATGCAGAAATGGTAAAGAACATGAAGAAAGTTAATCTTATCGAATCTATTGACATGGAGAATGAAAATACTGAAGTTAGGATTAAAAAAGACGAGGTTATCATTAAAGGAAAAGGAAAAATTAATTTTTTTAAGTGATTTATATAAATTATTGGTTGCTTGAGATATCAGACTTTTTATGTTTGCTTAGAAATCGTATGCTTAGAAATAACTTTATATGAATAAATATTATTTTATTTTATTTGTTTTTCATGGGGTTTTCTGTTGCAGTCTATTTTTGTCAATGATGTCAATCTAATACTTATTATCAAAATTGTTAC